GCAATTGATAACTATTTGCTGGTGGCATTTAATCAGACACATAACTCTGGTGATAGGTTTCTTGTGGGTGTAACTACGGTAACTTATTTAGCAGTAGATTCGTCAGGAAATAAAGCGGAATGCGTACTTCATGTAACAATACAAGGTAAGATATATATATTTTAATATTATATATTTATATATTTATTCAAATAAAATCAGAATATATTTTAGTAAATTATATATATATATATATATATAATTTACTAAAATATATTTTGATTTTATTTGAATAAATTTTAAAATAGTACAGTACTACATCAATAACTTTTATTTCATATTATTAGTAATATATTTATTCTTCTTTTGTTTACATTATATTAATTTATATTATATTCATCTATTACTTATTTGTTTGAAAATGTAATATCAATTACAAATATTTGTTGATTTTGCAGATGAAGAAAACCCAATAATAACCAACTGCCCAAGTGACATTCATCAGACTACAGATTACAGACAGCCAACTGCAGTGGTTGTTTGGGCTGAAGTTATTGCTATGGACAACCAGTATATTATGAACTTTACTAGTAATTACAGATCTGGTGATGCTTTTGTTATCGGAGTTATTGAAGTCAATTACATAGCAATCGATCCCTCAGGCAATATCGCCATATGCACATTCAATGTGAATATTACTGGTAGGTAACTATGTATGACATGTAAATTAATTTTAGTAATGTTAAATACAAAAATACTAGTTTACTTTTAAAACCTTGCGTGCACTACGTCAGCTGACGGTTGGAAGATGCCACGTGTAACTTAATTCGGTGAAAAGCATGCGACATCTCGTTTTCGATAATGATAAGGCTTTCTGTCTGCCCCCGATGACCAGCATAAGCTGTCACACCGCCTGGGTAGACCCAGACGGTGTGACAGCTTATGCTACACTATGTTGAATTAGATTCGTTGGGCAAACGCTGGTGCGACCGTCATCCAATTGTCACCCATCGCAATCTATTTCATGTTTAGTTTCGATTTTGGGTTGTCTTAAATAAAATATGCACCAGATTCATCAGTATGTAGTTTCATCTTTATAAATTTAAATTTTGTATTGCTCAGTAATATGTAGTTTCACATTTAGAAATGTAATGTAATGAGTTGTCTTAAATAAAATATGCACCAGATACATCAGTATGTAGTTTCATCTTTAGAAATTTAAATTTTGTATTGCTCAGTAATATATTGTTTCACATTTAGAAATGTAATGTAATGTTACTCAGAAACTTATAGTTTCACATATAGAACTTTAATGTATAATTATTCAGTTATATGTAGTTTAATATTTACAAATGTTTTGTAGTATTACGTAAATTTTCTTTTAGATCACGAGTACCCGGTGTTGCACTGCCCAGATGAAATTATGTATTCAACAGACACAAATCTCTATTATTCCACTGTGTATTGGAATGTATCGGTCACCGATAACTCAGGCTTTGCAACCCTAAATTGCACAAGCAAATCTGGTGATCAGTTTAATGCTATTTGGCCAGTAGCACAACAACCGGTTACATGCTTGGCCTTGGATCCATACAACAATGTTGAATCATGTATATTTAATATAACTGTTTATGGTAAGTGTGCTTTAAGTATTGTGTTTTTAAATACTATTATATAGTATAGTAAAGTAGAATAATCGCAAATTCATTTAGAATGAAAAATTTCTTCTAATA